TTACATGCCAAAAAAAGACCTTCAAAATATACCTTCAACGGCAAAACTATTCTTCCCAAAGCTGTCAAATGTTTATACACAAACATTTAAGCTAAGCTTTGGGAACAATACTTTCACATGAAAACAAAATAAAACAGTTTAACATAGTTAACAGTTTAACATAGTTAACAGTTTATCGAGGTTGAAAGATCAGGCAAGTAGGATCTTCCAATTACAATCACTCTACAGATCTTCCATGCAGCGGGTAATTTTTCCACGCCAAGTGCGCCCATCTATACAGGACATGCTGAATATGAATTTAAATACAGGATTGAAATTGAAGAACACAAAATATTCGTACAAGACGTACAGACAAGTTCTGGTGTGGAATTTGGTCTGATTAGGCCATCGAACAGGCCCTCATAAAGACAATGAAAAGCTCTGGTGGATTGACTCGAGGACGAGGGATAACAGACAAAATGTTGTAACTTGATGGGCGCTTGGGATGATCCGTCCTCATCAAATCTGTAGGAAATTGAGAAATATTATAAAAAATGACGTCAGTTGAACATTAACAGTGAGCAACATGTTGACGTGCGCCATTCTCGCATTGCTCGAGACAACGAAATTGATGAAAGATTAACTATACGTTGGCATGTAAACCAGAAACCTACATATATTAAAACGAGTTCGCGAAGCATGATCAGGCCATGGGAACGGTTGCTTTATAGGGTCTTGTGTTAAGAACGGGTTTTAATAAATAGTGGTTTCATCAACACACACCATTCAATATAAATGATATGCTGATTATTAGCAAATTTCCCTTATAGGGAATATGCCATTACAGTAGGTCTCATGGTAAGACCTAGACCCGGGACTGATTTACTTTTTCATTTTGGTATTCCTAGAGACCAAAAATACTGTTGGTTCTAATTGTTCTAACATATATAAATATATATGTATATATATATTTATAGGCCTATACCGGGTGTCCGAAAAAGACTCCATAGTTTTAAAAATACCTCACGATACTATTTTTCAAATGGATGAGTATTGATCATTTCGTGCTGTGTAGAGTATACTTACTTCAAAGTTTTAGTTTTGTATGTTGGCAATAAGTTGCGTTCACCTATTTGACCTTGAACATAGTTTTGGTAATAAATTATAATACAAATAATAAAATATTAATGATAAAAATGAGTAAAAATAGCTTGCATGTCTGCATGGCTACAAATGGTTCGCATATTGAGGTTTGATAGTGTTAAAATAACTTTTATTTTATTACCTTTCATTTAATGTATCAGCATAGCCTTCTCTATGGTATCAGTCGTTGAACAGTAGTTTGTATCTAGTACAATAAATAAATAAATTTTCAAACTAGGTAGGTGAGTTTTTAGAGACCCTGTACCCAAAAAAAAAAAAAAAAAAAAAAAAAAAAAAACTTAAGATTTTACTAAATTGTATTCAAAAAAGTTATTATCGTCCGTTAGCACGATGATTCCCAAAAATCGTCCGATTTAGTGGAATTTGGTACAAACATTACTTTTATTTGTGAATCAAGAGATGGACTATTTATCATTTACTTTGTATTGTATGTGACTTAGCCTATTGCTTTTGCTTAATGGCCTGAATAAATTATTGAATCATTGAATCATGTAAACGTACATTTATTTATTAAAACGAGTTCGCAAAGCATGATCGGCATGATACGGCCATAGGAACGGTTGCATTATAGGTATTTTGCCGGTAAGAATATTTTTTTTTATTTTTAACCCTCAAAAACTGCAATTTTACAATTGTATCATTAAAGAATTTTGTAGAGCTACTAAAAACAAATAATTTAGTACATTAAAATGGTTTTTTACTGTTATTGGTTACGGAGAAAATTAAAAAATGTAAATTAAAAAACCTCAAGTTATTCCAATAGCGAAGATTTTTAATTATTGTTTTTTCATTGTAGTTGTTAGCCTCCGGATTGCCAAATAATATTAGAAATGGTTTAAATACCTGCTATAAAGCAATCCAATTTTGTTGTTATCACAACTAGTTTCGGTGTCTGTGTGACACCATCATCAGGCTGCACAAGGACAGTTTTCTTTCTTCATACGAAGAGCGTCATATTTACACGAAAATAAATAAACATTTAAACACGACACAAACACGAATACGAGACATTTATATTTATTTATTTACATGTAAATATGACGCTCTTCGTATGAAGGAAGAAAACTGTCCTTGTGCAGCCTGATGATGGTGTCACACAGACACCGAAACTAGTTGTGATAACAACAAAATTGGATTGCTTTATAGCAGGTATTTAAACCTTTTCTAATATTGTTTTTTCCTTATTCATAGACACATTTTTATAAAATTGGGTAAATTTATTTGTTTCTTATCATACTATTATTATTTTATATACTATATAACCCTCCCTGTAGCAGCAAATGTAGGTACCAGTTAAACCTAATGGTATTTAAATAGGTTTGTGAAAATCAAATCAAGCAAATGGAAATTCGCTTAGTCTGCAGATTTGCTGAGGTGGGAGTATTTTTATTCATACTTTCATTTATTTTCTATTAATAGCAAATAAACTGGCATACACTCTAAATCAATACGGTGTTTGCTTCAAACAACTATATTGTGGAAATATTGAAAAAACCACAATTTTTATACGTTTTTGGAAAATTTATTTATTTTGATGGTCTGTATTTAGACTATTATTTACGCTACATACTTGCTGTTGGGCTTAAACTGTCACAAATTTATTCTTCTTTAATGTAATAGTATAAAATTTTCGGTAAAATCAACGGTTCGCGAGATTGAGTGAAAAACAATAGGAATTGCCATATTTTTATATTTCGATAACAAGTGGCGCGCCCCGCGGCGAGCGGCAGCATCTCGAGGTGGATAACTTGGATTTTATGTTATGGGCCCAATACTAACAACAAATCCAAAAATCAGAACTACCCGACCTTTTGCATACCAAAATGTCTTATTTTACTGGACTATAATATAATTTGTTTAACATAACAGCTGTAAACATTCAGCGTTTGTAACAAAAATTCAGTATTTGGATAAAATTAAAATACATACTAAGGGTTGACTTATTTATACTATGTGTAATGCTAATCATTTATACGTTCAATCTTGTGATAAGAGGATGACAGATTAATTAAATGTACATAGTAAAATACTATGTAAATCCTAAATATAGGAAAAATCCTAAATATAGGATGTTCAAAGGATTTTTTAAAATTAATCTTTGTAATCTTCGGTTTGTTTTAGTGCAATATAAATTTCTTTTAACGAACAGCTGGTTAAATACAAATGACCAGTAGAACTATGAGGTTATTTTATTTACTCTGATTTTGTCATTGATTATAGGAAATAAGTAAGATTAGTAGACCACCGAGATAAATAACACCATCGATGTATACAAGTCGAGGCTCTGTACAAGAGTCTTAAAAAAAGGATATGCAAATTATTTTACTGCTCAACTTTTTTAGGAAAGGGTAGGAAAATCCATTTTTACAAATTTTAATTCATTTTGGTAGCATTTTGTTTGCAATTAATGTTTTTGAATGCTTAAACTTTGTTTGGATTAGGCCCGGAAATATTGATGTCATAAAGAAGGAGATCAAGCATCCTCAGGAATACAATTTTAAATTACCACCACAACCCAGACGGGTTTTATCCAAAGATATACAGATATGAATGACATAGATTGAGCACAACGTCATTATTGACCTAGGATACTGAATTAGACTAACCATCCTTTTATGAAATAATCTAAAAAGTTGTTTGGCATGTGTTTAGTTGTGGTTACGTTTGGAGGCGCTGAATATTTTATAGTTTAAATAAATGAATACGGGGAATTACAGTGTATATTGATTCAATGAGGGTGGTTTAATTATTAAGGATATTAGAACTGATAACGGAATGGATAATAAACATATACAATTAATTACGTCACTAGCTTTACTAGCGTGTTTTACGGTTTAAATTCCTTCAACATGTGACCAGTTCTTTCGTTCAAATGAATATTATTTTATTTTTGACTCAGCTGTTTACCAAAACAAACTATATGTTGTTGGTTTTACTTTTCTTTGTTTACACTTATTTATTTAGCAATTGATGCAGTGAAATTGATATAAAGGATGTGTGTGGACGATTCGTTTAATGATGTCAGGACACCAACGTTATAATTATATGTACTGTGAATTTTATTGGATGTTTTCGTTTTATTTTAGGAATTTCTATTCAGACCTACTGGAAATTGTGTATAGTATGAGTAATTGTATTGTGTTGATATTGATTATGGAAGAGGCAGGTATGCGATGTAATTGGAAGGTGATATCGTTGACTAGGCCTATACACTTTCTCAATTGATAATTACTCTTTCTACTGTAGGCTGCTATAAAATTTGTCCTTATATGCGTAAGCTAGCTGTTCTGATTTATACACAGTTTTAACTGACTACTCCCGTACGTAGGACGGGCTAACATCTCGTATGAATAAAGTTATTTTGATTGATTGATTAAATTTACACAACAAATTATCACAGGTAAATTAGGTTTTTTAGTGACAATTATAAAATATGTTTATAAGTTTTTTGCTACAAGTAGGCCTATAAATGTATTTGAAGTAAGCATGAAATGTTTCAGCTTTTATGATTTAACAAATTTTTCCAAAATACAGTTTGTGGCCAAGATGTACTCCAACCAATAGTTTGGTCATAAGAAATATCCTTACAATAACCTTATAATGGTGTGTTTGGGAATTATTGTTTAAACCACCTTATGATTATGGGTTTGACGATCCTCTATAGAATAACTTTAAAATTAAATGTATTCACAATAAATTATTCTGGGAAACAAAAATCATTAAACCCCTAAGTCATATTGATTGTAATTTGTAAATTAAATTTGTTATCTTGAACCACATTTCTCATATGAACCTGAATCACATTTAAAACAAACATTATAAAGATCACTGAAGCATTTCAGCACTTCCAAACCTACCTCCAAACAGGTTGCCGAAGCGAGCTGGGAAGCCGTCATCTAGTCCCATCCGGTCGGCGCACACACGACCCAGCAGAACTACAGTTATCGGCCTCAGCGCCAGATTCAGTAGCGCCATAGCCACACTAAACTTCTCTCCCGCATCTACATATTGAATTACAAGTCTGTTAATAAATTATCGTATGATGTTTGTCCTTGGCAAAATGAGTACCTCAATACTAATTTTACTTTTGGGACACCTATCTTTTGTTTTTTTAGTACTAGATGAACCTACGGCTTACAGTAAGCTTCAAACCAATGGGTCATGGCATAATCAGATAGTTAAAGGCCATAGGTGATTTCCAAGATTTGATCCTACGCCACTAACATACACACGACCAACCCTAACAACTTACCTACATATTTACTTTACTTACGTTACTTTATTTGTTAATTTTGTAGGTTCAGTGCTATAGGCCTTAAGCATGGGTCACATTAGGCTGGCATCAGCGGCGAATTGAAAGAAGCTGCTACTGTCAGCGTAATGTGACCACAAAATTCGCAGCTGACACAGCCTGATTGGTCATGCTGGTGCCAGCTGCTGATCACCAGCGGCTGGCGAGCAGCCTAGTGTGACCTGTGCTTTACTTATGAGATCAGCCGTGCCTTTGTTTAATATTGTTGCTTGCACACACAATATTTAGCTTATGAAACTTTTTACTTTCTCCCCCTATACATAGAATACCGGTATGATGAATGTTTTGTTTTTGTCAACATTTTTTAGTTGAGTTTTGGGAGGAAATATCCGTTTTGGATCCCCTTGATCACAATAAATGATTTTTGAGGTGATTTCTGTGTGTATGTGTTTGTCTGTATGTATGTTGTGTGGATAAATAAATAGACAAATAAATTTTTATTGTCACCTAACGTTTACATAATATAGCTATGCTATAAAACAGATGACATTGTCAAAACACAAATACCTTAAGACTAAGGAGTTATAAAAGATTAAAATAAAATAAACTACTGTACAACTATAAAAATAAAAGTGGTTTAAACTAAATTTATCAGATGTGTACAGAGCTACAGACTTTAGCACATGTCTTCCGCTTTTAATGAAACTTGGTATGTGGTTACTAAATTCATGGTATCTCCAGGCATTCTTTTTATTTTCATTTCAATGATTTTAAAATGAAAACGCATAAAATAACATCGGATTTTCACAAAAACAGCTTGAACAATTTTTTATAAAAAATTAAGTATGTTATGGTCCTTTTAACTCCAAACAAATTGGGACAGCCACCAAACTCAATGCTGTCAATATTACAGTTCAAAAGTTATTGCGACTTAAGTGATGTTCTCAAAAGAATTTCTCCCACCACTTACCCATTATGGGTTGTTGACAAGCTAACAGGATAAATTATGGGTCAGTTTGCTTGGTACTGATAATTTACTTAGCCATAAAGCAGTGGAGGTGAAAATAAGTGTAATAGTACGTGAGTGTGTATATTAGAAAACAAGTGAATAAACAAAAGTCTTGAAGCAAGGCAGAGCAATTAAATTAAGCTCTAAGAACTGAAAATTAAAAGACTCTAATCATGTACAGTAATATAAGTTATCAATGTCAGAACGAAACAAATCTATGGAATATTTTACTTTCTTTAATGCTATTCTTGTATACTATTATTGTGATTTATAAACACATTCATTCTACAAAAAATTGCTATTTCACCCTATGTATTAAAACGTTGTAAGATGCACATAAACTTAGTTTTGCAAATTAAGTTTAATATTAAAAAACCAATCAAATACAAATTTATGAGATTAATTGCTAAATAAAATTTACCACTCTACTCTGAAGGGAGATTACTTACAAACAGACGGAGTGTTCATCCCGACAGCAAAAATATCCAGTAAAACTGAAACTCCATCAATAACCATCGCCTAAACGAGAAAGAAATTTAGCAATCCCTGTTTGATAAATTATAATAAGAACTAAAAAGCTAAAATCTGTGCAAAAAGCTCTTGTGAAAATTTATTTGCAAAAAAAACATAAAATGTGGGCTAAAACAGCAACAAGAAGTTTAACAAAAAAATTGTGTGCAACAATTAATTATCTGTTATTATTGCAGCTTTTGGGAATTAAATCATGAAGATTAATAAGCAAAAATAATATTGGTTTTATAACCAAAAACAAATCTGCTCAGAAGTACACAGTGATCTTATTATATGTTTGACTCTCGATCATTCGGCGAGACAACAATTATAGCAGCCGGAGGGTGTCCAGTGTCGGGTTACCGTAACTAAAACTAACCTATGAGCTTAGAAAAGTTTGCTTATGGTGTCTTATTACGGCCTTTTTGATTATTAGGGGCTCAAATCAATCAGCTTGGGCACTATTAGACAAAATAAGTTGTTTGAATTCCAAAGATGAATAGCACTTGTATGGAGCTATAGAAAGTATAATAATCTTAAGTAATAATTCGAGTCAAGCTTGTTATCTTCAGTGCTCGATTTGAGGGGGAACGCGGCAGAACGGAGTTTGACACCTCTCTCTCAGAAAGTTAAAAATATTGGCATAAATAGGCACTAATCACATAAAATAGGTTACAGTTCCGGCACCTTAATTTTTACAAATCGAGAACTGGATATCTTCATTCCTGTGTTACATAAGTTTAAAAATTTTTTTTGGGACATTATGGCCGATAAATCATACAATTAATTCTTCTAGGGAAAAATATCGAGCAAAGCTCCTTGTTCAGTGTACTATTAATTGATTAGGCTACTTTTTTAAAGGACAGCAGAACTGGACTTGAAAAACACAAATCTCCTGTCAAAACTAAAATCAAACTCTTATACTGGTTGATCCTGCATCCTAATTCGGTTTATGACCCATTCAGCACGTCAGATCACTGCGATTTCAGGCAGTCAAATGTCAGATTATCAAGTGCAAACTGTGAAACATATATCCAAGTTAAAGTAATTCTCACAAAAGACTTTTTGAGAGAACAGCTTACATTGCTTCTAAGTGCAAACATCAAACATATATGTGTAAAACGGGGACTCACCCCAGAACACAGCGATACTAATGACGTCCAACAATACTGATACTGCGTTGATGAAAACAGCCTATTATAAATAAATGTGTCACACAAACAAAATTGTTAGCTTCTGATGTAGGAACATATGTTGAAAATGGTCATAAAAGTTTGTATACTATACACAATTGCTGGACAATAAAAGTGAATGGTTAGATACAAGAACAAAATAAATAGACGTATTTTAGGTTAATGAAGTGATTGCTGTTTAAAGTTTCACATCCATATTGTGACGGAGAGAAGCAGAAGGCTTTCATGCACTCAGGTGTAATCAATAAAAATGTCCTAAAAAAGGTAATCACCAAAACATGTCATTATTTTTGGAACAGATTAAAATCCTAAAGTCTCTTACAGTATTACAGGTAAAAGCGAAGTCACTGTTGTACAAATCACAAAGGAGCTAAAGGCACAGATTTGAGCTTAACTACAGCTCTTGACGGCTTTAAAAATACAAAATTTTCTAGGGGAAGGACTTGAGATCCCCCCTACACATCCCCTTGACAAGGTCCTAGAACCGTCACTAAAATTATCCAAATTCTTCATTAATTCTTATACATAACCATATTGTACATTACCTTTAATATTACAAATTTTACATGGCCCTGTCAAAACAATAAAAACCGGAACCAGAGCCTCCTCTAATATAAGGCCACTCCCAACAATGTGACAACAACGCATTGGCTGCCATAATAACAATAAACATTAGCATTGCACAGATGCTCCATATATGAATTGGCTGTTTTGGTAGGTCGGGACTGCGGCGTGGCCACTTTTGTCTCATTGCAACTTGTATTAGAGGAGGCTATAACAGAACACATCAGAAGCTCACATTGTTAATTGACAGTTAGCATTAAAAATCAATTTGATCACAATTAATTGTGAAAATATTACATCCAAGACATTTATGTGCTCCAAATATTTATAACATAAAGATGAATTTACCTACCACAATTTGATTAGAATCATCACTTAAAATAGCATCGGCCACAGAGAAGCCTCAGCTAGTTATGTAAAATACATTTTCCTACAGTCACCCAACAAAGTTGGCTTCCTTGTACTGTTTATAGTACAGAAAGCTGCTAATTGCTGCATATTTATATTTTGTCGTACGGTTTATACTTTGTCGTACGGTTTATACTTTGGCGCATATCAGGATTCCAACGAAACAACACAAAACAGTGTGGTTCTATTATGCACGTAATCCGTGTACGCTTCGAAATAGGTTGGCAACACTTAAAGATAATAATACTATGAGCAGCTGATTGACTATTATAACTACGATTTAACCTGTCATTTAGTTTTTATAGTTTTAGTGTTTCTGAACTTTCTGGACTTTTCTTTTAAACGTTTTTAAAACATTCCTACGATCTTAATAAACAAGAAAATACCTATAACCCTCCGAGTGTTCCTCGTTTTGGCCTTAATGTCTGCCTATTTTTTGCTCATTTGCAAGGTTTCATTAAAACGGATCTGAGAAGCTTGAAAACAATGTTAATTATACTGTTCTATATACCATTTTGTTTGGAAAATCATGGGCTTCAATATTATACATAAAACATAAGGAACATTTGTTTCAAAAAAGTTTTTAGCTAAAAAAAAATATTTTGGAAAATTTTCAAAAAAAAAAAATAAGTTTGCGCTCAATGAAATTGTATAAATTATAGGCCTATAAATATTTGAAAATAGCCACTTTGTTCTAAATTTTATGAGGATTACAAATATATAATAATATAAGGAAGTAGATTTGCAAATAAATAAGTTATGGGCAAAAAACGGATTTCAGTACATAGCGTTTAGCTAAGAATGCATAGCCTAACCATAGCTAGGAATCTGGCTGATAATTTACATCAATATCACTACCTACTTCTTCAGGATCATCAACCAGCCATTCAAAATCACTTAAATCTTCTTATAATGCACCACGTATATCACTACTTTTGATTTTTAACACTAAAACAATGATAAACGTAATAAAACACATCAGTCATCGGTTCAAGGTTAACCAAGCTGTTTACAAATACGCACGTCAGCTGTCTGCTACAATATGTTCGGAACTAAAATGAAAAGCGCTTAGAGACAGACCTCCGGAGAAAGCTCTGAATCTGTAAAATAAAACGATACCTAACTCGATCCAGTTCAATCCGATTTTGTCAGTCATAGAGCCTTCGCCGTAAACAGTGTTTGTGAGTCGCTGCAGCGACACAAAACACTACACAAAGTGTGTTATGTGTCGCTGAAGCGACAAATAACACTCGGAGGGTTAAAGCTTTTTTTAGGCGCGGAAACCACTTCAAATTACAAAAACATATGGAACTATTTTCTCAAGTCGCGGAGCACATTGCTTGCCGAGGAAAAAATAGCGGAGTGATACGGACCGGTAACTACTTTCTCTAGGGCACCTATTTGTGTTGCCAGTTGAACCTAAAAACGTGTTGTATAGTGTTTGAAAGACTAATTATTTATAGGCTTTACAGTGACTGTAGGAAAAATATAATGTGTAACACGAGTGCAAAAGGCTTTTCCTGCACTCAAGATGATTCCGCACGAGCCACAGGCGAGTGCGTAAACATTGCTCTCGTGTGCAGCAAAGTGCCACTTTACCCACTAGTTACACAAATAACTATTTCATAAACTGTTTCATCTCTTGTTTACAATCTGACTGTGGTTAAACATTCAACTGACAAACCAGCTGATATTAATTACAATAATTCAAAATTGCAACCCTTGTAAAGAAAGTTGATCAGCATCACTTATCTTCAAAAGTGAATTCTAGAAATAAATCAAACGCTAGGGGGCGATGCCATATATGAAATTACCCTTTTTGGTATACCATTTGTCACTCCAATAGATAATAAGCTTTCAATTGACACATAAATCATAAAAATCGGCTAAGTAGGACAGGCGGAAAAGAGCGTAACAGAGAAAAACCATTATGTATAATGAAGATAGATTTGGAAGCTAAAAACATTTTTTGAAGTGAGATTCTAGAAAAAAAAAATCTATTTTGTATGATTGGTGCTAAAACCTGATTTGCTGATTACTCACAATCTGTATAGGTTCAGCCTTATCCTTGCAGTGGATCCCCCAGAGGAGTGTTAGGATAAACACCAGGTTGTAGAAGAAGTAGGAGTCTGGGCTCCAATGTCCCTGGATACCCCTGCGTAACATCGGTCAGTTAAACTGATTATAAATAACATACAAGTGAGTGTAGGACAGTCTGCAAAGAGTGATTCTGAGAAACCAACCCTCCACGATAAACAATATGGCACATGGATAGCTCTGAGTCTGTTCTCCCCAAAAAAATTCCCTATAGGTCTTTTAAAAGGTTTTCTGGGTAAGAGGGAAGTAGGGAAGGGTGTGCAGCACAGCTAGCTTCAACGCAAAGATAAACCCAACAAAATTAATGTTGAAACATTGGTACGGTATTTTAATCAATCAGAACTATGTTATTCGGCAAAATGAACTGACGAATATTAACAAAAATGTACAGAGGACAAAATTTCCTCGACTTTAAGCCCTGACTATTTTTACTTTAGGGTATTTGAATTGTGATTTTATAAAAAATTGAGTTCGATAAGTCGAATGATCTGTTTTTATGATATTTTTAAAAGTATCTTTCTCTTAGTTAATATTGTCATAGTCCAGTATCCAATCTTTCACAAATACACAAATACCATTAGCTGCTTCCAAACAAAACAGCTGTTACAACACCACTTGCGACGTTGCCGTTTCGAAGGCTGCGGCCTGGAGTTAAAGGCGGCCGTGAGGTATGTCGATATCATTAAAACTTTATCTAAACTTAAAATTCAATATCGAGAACCGATATCAACAAAATTCTTCCGATATCACGATATTATCGAAACAACAATATCGGAAATATCGAAACGAATATCGATATGCATTGATATCGATAATATCGCAATATCCCTACTTATGCCTAGTGTCCTAGGAAAAAAAGTACAATTAGCTATCAACGTTAGTTTTTTTTTAGAAAACACTATCAAATGTTGTATTAAAATAAGCATAACACCTAGCAAAGTTGTATATGTAGAGATTTCCATATTTTTTAAACTTGAATTTTAAAACTAAAAGAGGTTTATTTTGGGCGGATATTCCCAACCCCTTGTGACTTCCTGAGTCGTAAATGCTAAAGATTAGAGTAGTCTTCTAGAAATACTGTATGTATATCTTAGAAGGTTTGGCTTCAATGTTATTGCTCCTGATTCCTGCATCAACGACCTTGTATAAGTGACCATCCCACGAGTATTTCTGGGGGATTCCTGGGATTTATTGGGTAAAGCAAAAGCTGAGGTCAGGTACTTGCATCCTAGAAACCTACCCTCCACAAAAAACAATAGGAGGAAGCGTTGGCGAGTGTCCACTTACAGCTCGTGACACCTAAGCTGGCACTTGGCCTAGCGCGGGCAGTGTAGGTGGGAGGAGGGTGGAGGTAGGAAAAAGACCGGACTGGAAACATTTCCGCTGCCTCACGGGGTTGACTCCCCTTGTATTGTACTTGAGCGCCTTCATAAGGGTCGCGAGGACAGTTGATGCAACCTGCACGACGGGACATGTTTTTTAAATAGGTACTAGTAGCGATCGGCCAAGTGCCAGCTTTGATGTCAAGAGCTGTACAAGTTTACAATAACAGGGGTTTCACTTATATACTTTGAAAATCAGTGACACACTTGGTGTAAATAATTTTAACTGACATGGGTGAAATAACAGACCCTACCCTAGTGGTAGGCCTAATACAAAAAAAGTAAAATTAAGTTGGTAAAGTTGTCCTAGCTAGACTTTAATACCTAGGTATTGAAGAGGAAATAGTCTTACTTTGGAGAGCATTAAAAGAACAATCTACTACTACAACTATGAGTCGGTGATCATGGAGAAAAGGCCGGACATACAAACATACTAACATACACTCTCCTTTATTTATATCTTACTTTTTTATTGTTGGTAACTATACGCTTACCAATAAATATTTATAATTGATAGTTGTTAGCTAAAAACTTCACTGTGCTATTCAAATAAATGCTTTCAGTGTGTTCTTGGCACAAAATTGACAAGTTAATAGCTTGGAATGACAAATAGCAGTTTGCAAGTAGGCTAAGTATCCTTTTACTTATGAAATATTAATACCGCCTATATCAGTATGCTTACCCCTAATTCACTTTCTCTGTGCATTTTTGCGTCTAACACCAACTGCTAAATACATCTTAATTTATCATACTAGACAATTAGTTCAAATCAGATTTTTGAATGAATCCGATTTTATTCCGAAAAAAAAAACAATTTAATAAATAGTTGGAAGGAGTTGGAAATTATTAAAAATATTTGTATGTTTGTAAATATTTTTTAAATTTACTTTTGTAGATTTCCCTGCTGCTAGACAACTTTCAAAATACATAACTCCATACTCATTTATCTATTTTATTTATTACGTGGATCGATTTTATAAGATTAAATTATATACACAATTTCTCTTGCTTTTAAAAATGTAAAACTAAAGGGGAGAGCATATTAAATGTGGAATTGACTCTAAAACTCGTGAATATCAAATTAAATTTAGAAATATGGTTATATTCTTTAGTCTCTGATATACATGTTCCTCCCAGAATGACGATTTCCTACGCAATATATATACATATATTTTTTTGTCTATTAGATCAGTTTAAGTTTGATGATGATATTGGTGCTAACGAAATGTCAAAAGATAAATTTACAGAATTAGGTATTTTAACCCTTTATAGACCGTATCTTGGATACATTTATTATTGCAAAAGATCATTTATTTGAGCTATAGCAGTCTCAAAAACTGGAATTTTAACCTTTGTTGTTATTGCCAGAGTTCTTGAGTAAGTAAGGTGTTCACGCCGTCCCCAACACTATCCAAGAACTTGGGGCAACAACAACAAAGGTAAATCTATAAAAATAAAATTAGAGTTTTGTCTGTACATTGCTTAGAATCAAGCAGTTTTTGGTTATTTTTACGTTTTATAGCCTAAGAAAGCCGAAACGAGTCTTATCTCAATTTCTGTCTGTATGTCTGTTTGTCCATTCTGTGACTCCGTCTGTAACGCAAAAATGTCATTTTACGCGGCCTACTCCTAGAAAACTAGGGTACCGATCAAGGTTCTAATCATTTTTCTGTATTTACTGGATTGGTGAGAGTGTCTTGGGCTATAAAAACATGGCCTCGCTTCTTTGAAAACAAAATAACGAACCATCAAAAACCCAATTTTGTTTGATTTTTGTCAAATTTTCTCCCAATGTTTCCTATTACATTTTATGAAATAACGATCAGCTGTTTGGATTAGTTCTCACTTCTAGCTGTCACTGATATGCTTACATTAAAAGTTGTTTACAAATACCGCAACCATTTCCGATCAAGTTTTGTTAGGACATCCAAACCAAGTGAGATTAAAAACGTTGTGCCTTACTTAACCGGTTTAATGAATCGCAAGTGCAACGATTGTTCTTGAGTTATGATAACCGGGGAAAATGCCGTGAATCAGTGTTGTATTAGTGCTGGGAAACTTACCTACATTTTTTTAATCATCGTCATGAATAACTTACAAAAAGGTTTTCACTTATTGACGAAGTTTCAAGGACAGAGTTGTAAAGTGCAAAGTAAAAAATCACAAATGCAGTGGGTGATCGTGGATGTTGCTGAAATCTTGGAAGATCTATCTGATTTCGCTGTGATCGTAACAGAAGTTTAAATTACAGATGTAGTTAAACTCGCTTTTCCAATGTGTTGTTCACTTTTGGTTTCTACTTACATTTCAACAACGATATTGGTACTTTTCCTATCTAGGAAGTAAAACTAAAAACGTCCAAAACCCCAGATTTGTGCGTTTTTGTAACATTTCCTCCGAATGTTTGCTAGATATATGTACCGATTATCGTTTAGAGATTACGTAATCTTTTAAATAAGAAACCTTTGTTTGGATAAAGGTGGTTTCTTCAAACTGTCATTAATATGTTAACATTAAAAGTTGCTTACAAATAATGCTATTAATGGGAAATAACTTTGATTTTTGAAAACTTAAAAAGAAAATAAAAACCAAGGGAGATTAATAACTTCGGAACTGCACCACATCAAGTGAAAGTTTTTTTTTTTAACAAACCATAGTGAGTTTTTAAAGCTTTACGTTGTTAACGTTACATGTTACATGTTTTGTGGCCTGTGTATTTATTTATTTATATATTTGCCAACGGATTAACACCTATAATACATTTTGATTAGATGGACAGTTTGAATTGGTCGTAAGTACTAGGCCTATAGTTATTTTCTTAAATGTAAACGTTGGTTTTTGGTACTGCTACTTTTCCTTAGAACCGGGGGTAGCAGTAAGAATCATTTTTATGTACAAGCACATTACTATTTACAACTAGCCATTTGATGACACTATAAAAACTTTCAAATAATTGTTTTATTTGCAATTAAAGCGTAGGTAATCCCCTAATTCAATTCTGTATTTGTGTGTGTATGCTGTCTGTTGATAACGCATTAATGTCCTTATTTCTCAGTGTTTCGTGGAAAAGACAAGATGTTTTAAGCATTAACATTAAGCACCTTTGTCAATGAAAATTTCAACCCGAATAAAGTGTGCAGTAGTGAGGTTGAGGTAGTATTTTAACTACTTTTAACCAGTGTGAAAAGTAACTTTCAATTACAGGCCTACCTTAGGACTATGCCTCATAGATCTATAAAGCAATTCCTTTTATCATTAGATATAAAATATGGGCTAACACAATCGGGTGACAATCAGGGTGGCTAGTGAAATCACATTGAAAAATTCCCTGACTTTTCCCTGACAATTCCATGATTTTTTTAAACTTTCCCTGATTGACAAATTCAAAATTACAATTGTAATACTAACTAATTCTTCAAAAGGACTAATCTTTATCTGAAGAATATCTTATGTTTGTTTATATGAGAAACATACATAACACCTAGATACAGGCTAGCTTATATTCAAACTTTGAAACTTACCTTAATAAAATTAAACTGAGTTTGATAAGATGATACACAGTTTATAACAAAATTTAATTTGTACAAAAACACAAAATTTATTTGCACATTCATATTTCTTAGCTTTTACCCACACGGCAAACGTACTCTTACCAGATAGACCTTTCCTAACAATTATTATAATTATTTTAAACCTTTTACAATTTTCCCTGACTTATGACAAAATTCCCTGACTTTTCCAGATCTATATAATTAATACGCTACATGAAACTTTGTCGGTTGAACTCCTCCGCCATTTCTACACCGATTTTATCCATTGACGTCTCATTGGAAAGAGCGTGTCGCGTAGATTTGCAAACTGGCCTTACATTTTTGAAAAAGTCCCTTGGGCTATGCCCCAGTGGCTTTGAAAGTTCCCATGTTGTCCATATGGAAAACATAATTTTTTACATTTTGATCAGCTGTATAATTTAATTGCTGTTATTTATTTTTCAATTCAATGAAACGCATTGAGTACATTTATTTACTATTTTGAGTTTGTGTAAACATAACCCCAAGACAGATCGTGTTAGTATGGTTGTATCTCAGATATGTGTATTTATCGTTGTTTTGTGTAGCTATGACGGATCGTGTTAGCATGATTGTAACTTAAATTTGTTATTTGTTGTTTTTTTTTTTTTTAAATGCCTCCGACGCGACGACAAGGAAACAAAGACAGGAGGCGTAATCGTGATAACGACCGCAGCTCAATCTCAACTATTAGGTTACAAATGCGCCCTAACACTACCCCAAAACGACTTTTCGTTCTCAATTGGCCCTCTATCAATGACCTGTGTTGCCTGTACAGCGAAGCATTTTGAGGAGGAAAAACCGGCCGGAATGCTTTAGGTTTAACAATAACGAAGATAAACCCATGTAATACAAACTTAAGGTTTTAAGGTGGTAGAATCTCTTAAGGTTTTTGTCCATATGGCTATAAGTCAGGAAATGTTTGTAGAAAACATTAAAAAAACAATACCGTACCAGAGGTTATGAAATGATACAATATTTACAGGAAATGTTGATTACCGTTTTATATACATCGTGAGTATCTTCATGAGCTACACACCGGTTATCTTTGAATTGTCTCTTTTAAACACATTGTAAATAACACTATTACCTATTCGTTTTGAAATAACTCCTGTAATACTTTGCAATTGCTCAAATTCGAGCAACATGTACCCTAGTATTTAATATTCCCTGACATTTCCAGGTTTTCCAGGTCACTAGCCACCCTGATAATTGTGAAGCATTCGTTTTGGCTTTGAAACTGTCAGATATTGTTTTTGCGAAGGTTTATATGTATTCCTATACAGTAATAGTTTTGCCAGCATATCAGGAAATATTCATATGCAAACCAACTCCTGTTCTGAAAATAAGAAGGTTTCAACTTACTACAAGATTCCCGTACGTAGAACGGGCAAACAGCTAGTCTGATATAAATATTTATTTTAAAAAACTCCGACTTTAAAAACTACCCATACAATATACAAGATCAAGGGCGGTCCCAGGGGGGGGGTCAGGGGGGTCATGACCCCTCCCAAAATATTTTATATATAGATAAAATATTATACCAGGGGAACTTTAATAATTTTTATTGCAAATCGTTCTACCAAATTGAATTCATTGTAGTCTTACACTTGTGGCGAACGAAAGGACTAATCACAAACTCACCCAAACCTCGGGATCGTTCGAGTCTATTTTTTGTACGTTATGAAAAGTAGGGAAGATCGGCAGACGACGGACGCTTTCAGCCATATACGGCAACGGCAGTGTCCGATGCTGGCGTTCGACGTTCGGCCGCATTCTTCTTATTTAATTTTTCGGCATTTAATGTTACCATTAATTTTAACCTAGTTGGTTGAAAACTTGAATTGGGTATTGGATAAAGAAAAGAAGTTGTATTAATAGTCCAAGCTTGAAGGGTAGTTGAATATTAATTTATCTAAATTCAGCGATAGGAATTTGTTATTATAGTAATGTAACTCAATGATTACTGTAGAAAATTTTAAAACTTTCAATATTAAATCATTCATATTTAGAGCACCTGATATCATATTTAATAATAACACTACCCAATTGGTATGTTGCTAGCCACAAAATAACAACAAAATGGTAGTGTCTCAGACTTAAATGCGGAAGGGACTAATTTAATTCCCGGCACAACCACTCACAACCACAAAAAAGTTGCACAAAAACTTTATTGACCCCTTGTAAAATGCCACTGGCGTAGAACAAAATTAGAACACTGAGAACCAACTCTTCAGGCGGTAGCAGTGACGGGAGACGGGACGCCGACGGCATCGTTAGTTGTGGAGTGTACTTTGTGTAGGTTAACTGTTGCTTGCTAGGCAGGTATAATGCAGTCGTGTTGGGTGCTAGTTCTTAAACACTTCTTAGATCAAATAAGTTCTCTGGTTCAAAATCATGGTCTGATTTTGGACAATTTCTGTTTAGCATGCACATTGGCACCAGTTGAAAGGGTGTTTTTGTAAATCAAACATGCTTGAATGTGTTGTAATGTTGCGGTATTCCTTTGATATTAAAACCCCAAGTCTCAATAATAAAAAATAAAAAAAACTTGACATTATACGAGTACAAGTTTATTTTTTAACATTTTTTTGGCCTTTAAAAAATAAACTGGGAAGCTTGAACACATTAATTTAGGTCCTCAAAATAGCTTAAAAAATACTAATTTTAGTACGTTATTTCCAAATTTTTCCCGGGGGGGGACCCCCGGACCCCCCTTCTTTGCTGGGGGGTATTCCATACCCTCCAGGCTCTCCGGTGACCCCCCCCCAAAATATATGTCTAGGACCGCCCTTGTACAAGATATAAGTAAACGGTATCAGCAAACTAACATACTTTCTCCCATTATCTTGTCAAAAACTATTATAATGGATATGCGGTGGGAGTAACTACTATGATATTTTATGGGTGAGATCACAAAAATGGCAATAACTCGTTAACCTTAATTTTTACAGCTTTGGGGGTTGTTCCATTTTGTTAGGAGTTGAAAAGACCATAAAATACTAATTTGATCTAGATGATGGCTTTCACGTTCACAGCGGATTGTCAAATCTTTGTGTGATGATTGTGTCGTTAAATAAGACACTCCCATTACTTCAGGAGACTAAAGTCAAGACAAACTATATGTCTAAGTCCTTTTCAATAAAATTGTTCTTTTAGTACTGGGTTTACAAATAAAATTGATCAAGTACCAGTAATTAAAATTTAAAACCTCCTAGTAGCTGGATTACAGGACGACGCCACCCGTCCCAGTATGATTATTTGTTTGTATTATTATATTGTTGTGTTATTCTGTTTTGTTTATTTCTTCAGCTTAACTTAACCAATCAATAGTTTTATTAATACTTATGAAGTCAAACGGGGTGAAGCTCGCGGGTCAGCTAATATAAATAATTAGTCTTTCAAACACTGTAAAACACTTTTTTAGGTTAGGTTAAATCCAAACATTGAACGCAATGGGAAACGCTGCACCAGCTGATCATAGTCGTAATATCTTTAAGTGTTGCCAACTTATTTTCAAGCGTACACGGATTATGTGCATAATAAAAGCACACTGCTTTTTGTGCTGTTTGGTTGGAATACTGGTGTGCGCCAAAGTAAGGTTTTTTGTACTCTAATCTGTGCAAGGAAACCCACTTTGACGGGTGACTGTAGGAAAATATAAATTGTTGAACTGTATTATTAACCCCCCCCCCCCTAAACTACAGTGTTATCATCACCCTTCACCATAATTAATTACAAGGTAAATTTGATGTATTTCTCAGTGGCAAGAACTAGAATATTTCATTATTGAACTATTGTTATCTTTGCCTTTGTTCTTGCAGAAAGATTATATTCCTCCAATAAATCCAGTAAATATACAAACGATTTGGCAACCCCGCAATAGTGGAAGTTCCCTACCGCAACGAAACATAGACTCTCAACCTGCATAACCAACCCTTCTCGGTAGAAGGTCAGTGAACAAAGACAGTGCTAGTGTGATTCCCTACAGGTGTCCGTCGCGAAGTGGCCACGACGTAAACGTACCAAGTTGTGATGTGTGTATACAATGATGTGTATAAACTGTATATAATGTGTAAATAGTACTTCTCATCTCCCTGAAGATTCCACACAACGTAGTGAAATATATTGGAGGATCATAACATCTTTCTGCAAGAACAAAGGCTAAGGTAACAATAGTTCAATAATTTAAAAAAAAGTAAATTTGTGGTGTAAAAATTTAGATAAAAAAGAGTTAAAATAAATTGTTAAAGACAACATGCAATAATCTATTTCTCTGATCACTTGTACATTAAAAGTAGAAACAATTTCAATAATGGCTTTTCTAGACATTGCAAACACACACAATTAATTCTTACTAAAGAGAAAGATAGTATAGTCCAGTAAAAAGGTATTTTGAGGTGAAAAATGTATAGGTACCTAATTGTTTTTTAAGGCTTACCCCTACTTCATATTTTTGGGGGTGCTGAGCACGAGCCTGCAGCTGTCCAACAAAATTTTATTCGGCAAATATGAGAAAAAAAATACAAGAAAACGTTTTATGGCTTTATTTTGTAGTGTTTAGTGTGCAGAGTGACATACTAAAAATTTGCCAAAATCGGTGCACGGGAAACCCCTAAAATCACAAATAAAAATGGCGGCTTTTCCCAACATTGGACAAATTTAAAAAAATTACCACATGGAATTTTTATGTACATTTTTTTAGAAATTGAAATGAGACCACCGCCGATATTTATTGGGTGATTAGTACTTACTAGTGATACTACTTTTTTTTACCAAACATATTAGCTGTTAACAAAGTGCAAAACAGTGATATAAGTTTCAAACAATAATTTTGTTATTCGACCTTACATAATTGCCACAACCAGGTGCAATATAGAATTGTTTACATACCATGTTATTAATATAAAGTGAACTCCAAATATAATCTGGAAAAAGAAAACACGTGTCAATATCAAAAAATATTTATTACAAACTCATACATATGTAGACAAAAATTAACGGTAAAAAATCAAAGAAAATGTGTTTTAGGTGGGTTTAGGAAGCTGGTCGTGGTTGCGGGTTGTAGCCGATGCGCTCATGTATAATCTGCTGTAACTCCTGTTTAGTTTTAGTGCCGCCGGAGGGTAACCACGTCTTCTGTTCCGCAGCACGCAGATCCCTAGCAGCCTCATACTCACGTCTCACCGGGAGAAACTCCGCGACATCGTCCAGCTTGAGCTCGATACGCGTCGGGCTCCTTCGGATCATTTTGTAGTCTTATATCTGAAATTTCACCAAACCAAAATACAATGCTTAGCCACCAGTATACTATTTTTATTTAAATGTCACACAAATTTTGTAATCATTCCATAACACTTAAGGAAAATCTTATTCAAATACAAGAGTAGTAGGCCTAAGCTTTGTATTTTTCTTTTAGTCCCACCTTTATAACCTAGCACACTATGCTCCTGGACTGGAACTTTTCTGTATAATAAGTTTACTTCAGGCTAGTACTCTAGGGTCACGACTTCATTACATAGAAAAAAATCCGTTGGTGATTGGCCGGATTTAAACCTGGGACATCAAGGACCAAACCCTGTGTTCTACCACCAGATCGGCTTCCTCCCATAATAAATAAATTTTATTATAGCCTAAATAGAATATATAAGTAATGATTTCTAAAAAAAAAAAAAAAAACTGATATTTCACAACTAGTTTGGACATATCAGATATTTTTCGTGTGAAGCCTCAAGCCTGCAAATATCAATACTTTTTAACCATATCCAAGTTGTATGTACAGTAAAATTTAATAATTTAGTACATTTCATAATCCGGTAGAGCAGGAATCTCCAACCTTATTTCCTTCAACATTAATTATTAATCTTTTGATTATAATGTCTTTAAAAAAAGTCAAAATACAGGAAATGCAATAAGTGTAAAAGCGTAAAAAGAACAATATTTTTTTGCTGGAAATATTTAATTTTTCCACTTTGATGTCAGCTAATTTAGGGTTGCAATTTTAAGTTCTGATAATAAGGATTGATTGATTCCCTATTGAGAAGAAAATGGCAAGTGAGAGACATACTATACGCATATTTAAACATCGTAACCAGCCGAACGGTAGAGACCAGCAATTGTATGTAAAATTTGTTGGACGGGAAAAAGACAGGGAATTTTACTTGAATCAGGTATGGCCCGAGAGTTCCATCAATTCCTATAGCAGAGCCTCCATTCATTGACGACGTTCTATTGGTTCTCTTTTAATGCCGTAAGGAAATCTTTATCACTGGTCACAAGTGTTGCCGCAATTGTAGGAGACGATCACGGCACCCTTAAGACCACCAGAACACAAATTGATCGTGGGAGAAGATCATCAGTGTTTGATGAACAAAATGTGCATTTTTAGTGTAAGGTTATGTTCAACCAACAAACGAACAAACAAGACTCAAGCTTGTCAAGCAACTCTTTTTTTCTCTCGACACTCACTCGCTCCACTGCCACCACCACACGACAAACTCACAAATCCAAAGACAACAAAATATTGCAATCTAGGTGAATGCCGTTGGTTATATGAGCTTTCACTCCTACCTTTTATTTATTGTTTATTCGTTACACTTATTTTTAATGCTTTTAGAATTAAGTTTAGCTGCCAAAACACTCTTGTTATTAATAAGTGCCTGCCACAAACCGCCTTAGAACTAGTTTTTCATAATTAATTCATTGTACTCAGAAAACAAAACAAAAGTAAAAGAGAAAAATCTGTAAACTTTGTTTGTCATTTTTTTTTTATCTATTGGTCCTCGCCGACAAGTTTTGTAAACTTGGCGAGGCCATGCTTGTAACATCCTAAATAAATATATTTGAATTTGAATATCAAAAAGATTTCTATCATTATTAGCCTATGCTGGCTTTCTGCGGGCCTGAAAAAAAAATCTGCTTGCAGGCCGGATGTAGCTCAAGGGCCTTAGGAAGGCTAGCAAAAACACTGCATACAGACGACAGTCACCAAGCCTGCATCCCATAGCTAACTCTTGGTGGCATTACAAAATAATCTCTTTAGCTCTTATAAACGTACTCTGACGAACGTACTCAGAAACGAACTCTGATAAACGTAGGCATTCGTTTAGTATACCCCTTAAATGTACAAATTTTAACTTTTTTACAATTTAATTTCTTTAGCCATTAAAAAATTGTTTCATTATCCCCTTTATTGCTGTGAGTAATTACTTAGAAATCTTTTTCGAGGTTTAAAACACTAATAATGTGTGTGTTTAAATAAATAGATCAATCCGTGAGGATATTATTGAACATACTTACTTTCAAATTGATGCTTGGAACAGAATTGAGATCAACATCTACCATTTCCACAACCTGAAACATGTTTTAAAGTATAATTCATTGGGCTGTTATTAAATGGTTGGTCATTATGGAATGAAGAACCAGCTGAACAAAACTATCATCTCATCCATTCAACACAGTTCACCTTTCAAATACAACCTACCCCCCTACATACCTACAATATACCCTACATACTTACAATATACTATTCATTTGAACGGTATGGCCTAAGTTTGGTGGTCTTATCTTGTAAACAATATTAGGCCTACTTACAAAATCACCACTAAGATTTAAGTTTATGCCAACTCAATGTCAATTGATTTTAATTTATTGGTGTCCACAAGGGTGATATTTTGTATGTCATGTTCAAATACAATACAATACAATACAATATTCTTTATTGTTCATTCATTAAGAATTACAATAGTATCAATACAATAGTGAATTGTATGTGCTAATTTCCATAATTTTCGTAAAGTTCCTTTATTGTGTAGAAGGGTCTTGCAATTAGCCACTTCTTCAACTCCTGGTGTAGCTTGTTGCCAGTCAGGTCTCTCAGGTAGTCAGGTAGATGGTTCCTCAGTTTGCAGCCGGTGTAGGAAGGTTTTTTCCCCCAAAGAGTTGTTCGGTGAACTGGTAGGGAAAATTTGGAGCCATGACGGGTGTTGTAGTGGTGCAGGTCTTGGTTTCTTGGGGGGGTTTATTTCATCCACATACTTTATGGTTTCAAGTATGTAGAGAGACACCACTGTGAGGATTCCTAAGTTTGCGAATGCTAGTCTGCAAGTCTGTGGTGGGACAAGGTTGGCGAGGGCTCTTATGGCTTTCTTCTGAGGAACAAGGATTCGATTCATATTTTTTGTTGAAGTTCCTCCCCACACTGTCAAGCCATATCTAATATGCGACTCTACCAGTGCAAAGTAAGCTGTTTTGGCCACAGAGAGTCCGCCTATGTAGTTTATTCTTCTGACGACATATATTCCGGCACTGATTTTTTTTTGCTTAGGTGGTTGATGTGCTCTTCCCATGTTAGTTTGTTATCAAGGATAACACCGAGAAATTTTGTATGGTTTTCTATTGTTAAATCCTCTAATTGAGGGACTATGTCTTTTTTAAAACGTTTTTATTAGCTCGCTTTCTTGTCCGGTACAAATTTTGCAATCAATTTTATACTAACTTCCCGATGAGCTAGAGACTTGAAACTTGAAACATAGCTCACAAATGGAAGACAACGCAATATTATATCATTAAATTTTCATATTTCCCTTGGGCTATGCCCCATGGGCTTGTTTTTTCTTACTGAAATTCAGAGTTGTAGTTTTTGTGGGGTTTATTGCTAAGTCATTGTTCTTTTAGTAGAGGATGGCTTTATTTAGGATCAATTTTGAATTAAGGTACAGGCTTTGGGCTGTGTTGTCCTTGATCAAAATGGTTGTGTCATCTGCATACATGATTGCAACAGCATTTTCACTCTCAATTTGTTTGGGGAAGTCACAGGATGAATAGAATCGGGCCTAATACAGAGCCTTGTGGAACTCCTCTTGTCAGCTTGCTTTTTGAAGATTTGAAACTTGCTGTGACTTCATTTGATGAGTTTTTCAGTTCCACGACTTGTGAACGTCCTGTTAGGTAGCTTTTGAACCATTCTAGCGCTGAGTTTCTTATACCGAATCTTTTGAGTTTCTTGCATATCAGGTCAAGGCCCAGGCAGTCAAAAGCCTTACTGTAGTCAAGGAAGATGGCGGAAATGTATTGTTCATTTTCTATCTGGTCTAGGACGCACTCAATTAGGGCTATTATAGCTGAGGAGGTGAATTTATTCTTCCGAAAGCCATGTTGGTTGTCAGTTAAGAGTTTGTTATGATTAAGATGTGCCATTAATCTAGCCAGAGCTATTTTTTCTATGATTTTAGAGAAACTGGAGATGAGAGAGATGGGTCTGTAGTTTTGAGCATTTTCAGTTGGTCCTTTTTTATGTTTGGGATATATTTTACTGACTTTTATGGTGGATGGGAATTTGCCTTCTTTAAATGATTTATTTATAAGATAAACCAGAGGAGAGATGAGTTCTTGGGAGCAGTGCTTTATCATCTTAGAGGAAAACTCATCTAATCCACTTGATATTTTGGATTTTAGGGAGTTTATTATCGTTTCAACTTCTTTATAGGATGTTGTAGTTAAGGTAAGGTGTATTGGACAGACTGGTTCCTCTCCATTCAGCACTGTTTCAGGGTCTATAACGATTGCTTTGTTTTGGTCAAGGGTATTTTCTGCTATATTTGAGAAGAATGTGTTAAAGTGTTCGGCCATTTCTTTTGTGTCGTTTGTGAGTTTGCCATTTATTTCTAATTCTGTAAGGGTTTTCTCTTCACATTTTCCTTTCCTTTCCTTGTTTATAACTTGCCATAGTGCTTTTGGTTTGCTGTCAGCTTGTTCTATGAAGCTATCTGTTGAGGACATTTTTAGGTTTCTTTGTTTCATTTCGTATATCCTTTTTCTATTAATCATTTCTACTTTGTCTTCATTTCTGTTTGTTAATTCAAACTTTTGCATAGCTTTCAAAAAGTTCTCTTTAAGGTATTTTGCTTCGGGATCGTAGTACTTCATATGTATTTTGTTTGTACTAATTTTAGTTTTCTTTAATGGGCATGTATAATCTAGTGCTGTTTGGAGAATATTATGAAATTTGTTGTAGGAGGTTTCAAGATTGGGTGAAGAGTAAACATGTTCCCAGTTTTGTAGATGGAGGTGAGCCTTCAGTTTGTTTAGGTTTGTGTTGTTTAGGCTTCTTTTCATTACAAATCTTTGGAAAGTGTCTTCTTGGTGTGTTTTCAACAGGCACAGCTGCGCAGTGTGGTCAGATAGACCAGTATGCATAACTTGTCCAGTAATATACGCATATGGTATGTTTGAGCATATACAGTCTATGGAAATGGCTGTGTCATGGGTTATTCTGGTGGCCTGTAGAGGAAATCTCCAGATGTTTTGTGTGGTTAACTCTTCTTCCAGCATGGTGTTTTTTGAATTTTGGGTGAGCCTGTCAATATTTATGTCACCGATGAGTATGAGGTTTTTCTTGTGTACTTCTTGTAGTTCTAGCGTGTCTGACAGGAGATCAAGGGCAATTCTTGCATTTTCTATTGGTGGTCTATAGATTCCCAGAATGTAGATACAGTAGACCCTCTCTTAACCGACCTCGTATTAACCGATAATCGGATTATCCGCCTTCCATCATAAAATATCACAGTTTGTTTTAACCGACCTTGCTTTGAGAGCAGTTCGGCTTAACCGCCGCTTTCTAGGAATCTCGGCATTTCCGGTCCCACGCTGGGCGATGAGAACCGAACCATACGCTTATCTCCACAGGATGTGACTAAGAATAAATTATTTTGCATTGATCACAAAAATATAGCATATTGTCAGTTTGTCATCATCGTTTATAGTGCGGGCACATCCTGATCTGATTTGTTATCTGTGCAGCAAATTTATAAAATCGTAAAGTGCGTTACGATTTTGAGAACTGATTATCTTATCGCTAGAGTAAACAAACAATGCAACTTGTAGGGAGGGCAGGGAAGGGGGGTTAGAAGTAGAACTAAAGTTATTAAAATAGGAATTTGTATTGACTCTTGCCTAGTACTATAATCTATTCCACTTAAAGTAGGCCTATTTGACTTAACGGTGTTTAGTGTTTATTTATGACTTTTCTATCAATAGGAAAAAAAAGGAGATAAGAGTAGCTTATTTTATAAATAATAGAAGTATGACTTCAAAATAATGATTATATAATTCAAAATTTATAACACTTAATTATGTTATGATTTTAGGGATTGCCCGTTTTAACCGACCTTTTGAGTTTTCCGACCTAGGTCCGGTCCCATTAGGGTCGGTTAAGAGGGGGTCTACTGTATCCTTTTTATTTGTTGTCTGCATGCGAATCATTGCTGCCTCGAAAATTAACTCCAGGCATGTGTTTGATATGTCAATAGCTGATACTGTATCAGCAAGGGTTTCCTTGGAATATATTGCTACACCTCCAAGTTTATGTTCTTCTCTACTAAAGTGGGTAATTAAAGAGTAGCCGGTAATTTTGGTAGCTTCTAGTTCTGTTTTTTTCAGTCCGTGTTCAGCCAAGACTAGAATGCTTGGTTTTGTGTCATTGGGAATATGGTGTAGTCTGTCCGTCTTTGTAGCAAGTCCTCTAATATTTTGGTGCATTATTGCTACACAAGAATTATTTGGAGATTTGCTGATATTTCTTTTGCTTTTTTCAGGCTGTTTGTTTCTAAAAAAAGAGGTTATAGTGTGGGGCACTGTAGAGTGATTGGATTGTTGACTTGAGTTGGGTTCTTGCAGCTGTTTGTGTTTCTGTTCTCCTTGGTAAGAGAGGCAGTCCATCTCGGTCATGTTTAGTCGCTTGGTGTGTGACAGAGTATTCTTTTTATATAGGTCTATATTTTTCCAAAAGAAGTCTTCAATGGTCTCTCCCGGCTTAAGAAGCTTGGCAGAGATCGGGGGTTTTCCTGTGTTCTTTGGTTTAGTTGATTCGATTGGGGGAGATATAGTGCCCTTGAAAGTAGAGCAAACTCCTTTTGGGACTTTGGCGGCCTTGGGTTTTTTAATGTTTTGATTTTGTGTTTGTTGTGGTTGACTTTGGTGTTCTGGTGCTTCTTTCCTCAACTTGCTTTTTGCTATTTGCAAGGAAACACTGAAATGGGTTTTCTCAGTAGTTGCCAATTTGTTTTTATTATATGAAACTCGTCTTGATGTGTTAATTGGCTTGAAAGGAGTCTCCTTTTTCTCAGTTATTAGGCGCTGGGAATCTTCTACTGTTATTTTATCTTCTAATTTCTTCATTTTTGACTCCATATTATTCTGTTTTTCTTTTAGGGCCTTTAGTTCAAGTAGAATTAGTGTTTCTGTGTTTGATACTTCTGGCTTTTTGTTGTCTGAAACTGTGGTTTTGTTTGTGAGGTCCTTCGCCTCTGTAGTGGTTGTCTGTGTGCTTGTCTCTCTGAATGATTTTGTAGATTCTTCTCAGGTGTTTATTCTGCTGCATGTATTTTTTTGCCTAAGGCATTTAATTTCATTCTCCATGTCCTTTATTTTTGTGTTGAAGCTATTAAAAGTTTCTTCCCGGTCTTTGACATAATCTTCAAATGTTTTTTGAGAGTGTTTCTTAGGCTTACTTCCTTTTCCAATTGGTGTTCTAGTTCAGTTATTGTTTCGATTAAGTTGTTGTTTCTAATTAGAATAGTATTTTTCTCATCTTCTAGTTGTTCAATTTGAGTGTGGTAGTTCATGATGTCGATGGTTTGTATGTTTGTTAGTTTCTGGGCCAGTTTTGTTGAGTCAGGTTGAGTACTTCTTCTTCTTATCTTAGTTAGCTATTTTGTGCTAGATGTGTTTCCAACTTCTGCTGCAAGTGTTAGAGAAGTTTCTAAATCGGGATCTTCTGAGTTTTCTAGTTCTAGAATTTTGTTTTTTACCTCGCCCATTTTGTTACCCTGACTTTCAGAGGATATTTGATTTGGGGGTGTGGGAGTTTGGTCTTCTTTTAGTTGTAACGCTGGCTTTCCAGAGGTGAGGGAAAGGTCACTACAATTGTTACACCTCCATAGGAAAATGTCTTCTTTAGAAAGGTTTTTTAATTGTTTTTCTGTGATATTGACACACCCACCTTGAAACCAGGAGTTGCAGGGACCAGTACATTTTATACTGGAGTATTTTACACCAATGTTGCAGTCACCACAGGGATATTTTGAAACTTTTGTTTTGTTCTTCGGCATAGTTCAGGTGTAAAATTGTATCAGTTTTGAAAAGTTTGGCTGGTTCTTTATGTCAGGGGTCTTGAAGTTCAGGTGTAAAATTATATCAGTTTTGAAAAGTTTGGCTGGTTCTTTATGTCAGGAATCTTGAGGTTCAGGTTAAAAATTTTATCAGTTTTGAAAAGTTTGGCTGGTTCTTTATGTCAGGGGTCTTGAAGTTCAGGTGTAAAATTGTATCAGTTTTTAAAAGTTTGGCTGGTTCTTTATGTAAGGAATCTTGAGGTTCAGGTTAAAAATTGTATCAGTTTTGAAAAGTTTGGCTGGTTCTTTATGTCAGGAATCTTGAGGTTAAGGTTAAAAATTATATCAGTTTAGAAAAGTTTGGCTGGTTATTTATTTCAGGATTAGAACTATTTAAATTAATAAATAAATTTATTTCTGTTGTCAAAAATTTGTGTAGAGTAATGAAGAATACAGTGTTGCACTGTATTACTGGTTGGTAGTAGGTTGTAGACACTGTTAGAAGTGGCAGTGTCTGTGGTCAGTTTGCTGAGCGTCCAGTCAGCAACTCTCAGTTCAAACACTCCCAGGCAGCAGGTGTCGTGTTGGAAGTGATGAATGTGTAAAGCTGTGAGTTGGCTGTGACGTCACTGCTTGGTTGTCAGTTTGATATATTTGCAGAGTTTAATTAAAAGAATTTGGGCACTTGTATGTAAAATTGAAACTTTTGAACTATGCAATGTTTACAAGATAACCATCTGCTCTGTGAATTTTTGAGGTAAATGTTATTTTTGGTATTAAACTTGTATTAATAACTTACAGCCATGTTCAGTTTGTCATATTGGCTTTTCATGAGATTTTCTTGAGGGTCACTTAAAATCTTGATTGTCTTAAAATCACTTGATAAAGTTGTTGTTTGTATGTTTGTTGTTTAATTAGTAATTTTGTTGTTTTTTACCACTAAACTACACTTTAGATATGGGAGCACTTTGCAGGTGATGCTAGATGTCCGCCATCTTGGTTTTGATCCACAAACATGTTTAATGGAAAATGGTCCAACCCCTTGAATGTTAACCGGTAAATAAACTTGTCTCCCCCCACCAAAACCTGAGATGCTAACCACTAGGCTAGCAACACACCCAAAAGTTGGTGTTTAAAATATGTTTTTTGGGTTCATTACTCAAACATCTGAGGATAGGGCCTATGATTTTATTGGGCTACCTACATAGCATTTATTGACTGAATTGAACCAAATCACTAGTTCTGTATCCTACAAAAGTTTGCTAGTTGATATTTCCAAACAATAAAATTGTGTAATCGGCCAAAATACACCTACCACTAAAGATTAAACAAGATTTGTTTAGCCTGTCAGATCTTCAACAATAGTATTCAATTATAATGTATTCAACAACTCGGTAACTTCTTAGACCTTAAAAGATTAACAGAAAAAATTATAGGCTTATTTATGATTCCTAGGCAACTATATCTACTGGGAATTCAAATTAAATTAGGGTATGTAAATTCATATGTAGGCCTATAATAAAATATAACAATGACTAAAGCGGTTTTTTATATACTAAATTGTATTACGCCGTCCAAGACAAGTGGTCTTTTAGACTGGCTGTTTACACTGGCCAAGTTTCCTTGTTTCTGCGGTACATATATTTTCCCTCCCCATGCGTTTGTTATATTCTTGGCTCTGCTTGGAGTTATTGTCACGCTGGCTCAAATAAGTTGTGTGCTGGTTGATGGGGAAACCCTATCAGATCGATTTCTTCCTCTACGGCCCGAAACAGAAACTCCATTAAAGGAAACAACAGTCAGGGACTTCAAGCTGGTACTGACTGTATTAGAGCTTGCGATTTACGTCTGTCTCATGGCTGGCTCTTATCTGCACTCAAGCATGTTGCTGATGCCTTGGCTACTCAACAAACTGATCCTTGTTACAGTAACAATGCTGCTAACATTCTTCAAGTTCTTCACTCAGAAGCCTATGACTTTGTCCACCTTAAGAATCATTAGCTATTTGACAGAGATTCACAACTACTTGTATGTCCTGTGTCTCTTTCACGAGATAGTTAAACACTCAGGAGAATCAGTTTGAAATATAGAACACAATTTTAATTCTTGAGGATCTCTTTATCTACTAATCAGTTAACCTTTGCAGATCCGACCAATCCAACCTCATTGTGGTATCCAACACATAGGCTACATTTGTTAAGAATTTGTATAGGCCTACATTTGTACTTAAATGAATTTTTAATAAATGTGGACACTTCCGGTTAGAAATGTTATAGGCTAGCCTAACCTATTCATATTCAGGCTACTGTTAGGCCTACTCAACTGACCAATATTTAAACATTTGCCAAGCGCAAATGGCCTTCCTTAAGAAGGAAGGCCATTTAACTTTTGGTACTTTCTTGTTAAAGGGATCATTCATTATTATCGATGGATGAGTTTTTTTGAATATATCGATATTTTTGTTTTCCTTTATGATTTAACTTATAGCCTATTCCTTCTGTTTTAATAAGTTAGTTTCAAACGCATTTAAATTACAAATTGACAACTGATCTTGTTAAAGCAAAAATGATAGGTATAGGCCTAATACATGGATACCACCAGTTGTAAATATTAGTTATTATAGTTATTCCAGTTTATTTTTTATTTTTTAAATGAAGTCTTTTATAAATACATAAAAGACACTGACGCAATCTACCCGACAAACGTCAGTCAAGGATCAAGAATATCAATTGAAACTATCGAATTGAAAATATCGATTGATGATCGATATTTTTAACTAGGTATACCAATTATAAAATGAAACTGTCATAACTTAACCTAAATAGGCCTAACCAAACTTGCTGGTAATGAAAAATTCGAATGAAGGTTCACTAATCGAATCGATAGTTTCAATCAATATTAGCATAGGCTAAGTCAGCCCAGTTAAGAAACTGTACCCCTTACTTATTGTAAGTTATGTTAGTTGTCGGCTAATAGGTTTCAATTCGTTAATATCAATATATCGGGACTGTTCTGGGACGGTTTTTTTCTCAAATTTTAATGATTGTTTTCCTTTGGTGAAGAAGAAGGTGTTTAAAAATAGAACTCGCAATTTGAAAACAAAAGCTTAACTGGTACACCCCAGAGCTGGAAAAAATTAATACTGTTTTATCAAGATGTGTATAAAATGTATGGTAATGAAGACATTCTTTTTTTATCCAAAAATCTAAAGGGCAAGTATCGGACTGCTATCCGAGAAGCTAAGAAGAGAAAAACGAAGAACGCATCGAGAGGTCTACCAATAAGTGCAAGACTGCTTGGTCGGTAATTAACTCAGCTGCTGGGAGGTCCACGCAGAAAAAAATGTCAGCGCTATCCCCTGATGACTACAGCTCCTACTTCTCCACGGCGGTGGAAGAAATCTGTGAGAAAGTGAATGTGTCAAAAAGCAATGCTCATCAAATGGTGGCAAAAAGTGCTCAACCTGTGTGTGATTTTAAATTCAAAATGGTATCAAAATTAGATGTTTTAAATGTGATTGTGTCGTTAAAAAATTCTGATACCAGAGATGCGTATGGGTTAACGAGTAATTTATTGAAGTCCTTTCACTTATTGTATAAATCGCTGTCTCATAGAGGGTGTTTTTCCATCTTTTATGAAATTGTCAAGGGTTGTCCCGGTGTACAAAAAAGGGTACAAAAATTTGCCTAGCAGTTACCGACCCATTTCATGTATTTCTACAATGGCTAAAATTATGGAAAAAATAGTCAAAAACCAAGTATGTAATTTTTTTTAACATAGTAATCTGTTTAGTAACTGTCAATTTGCTTATAGGTTAGGTCTTTCATCAACTTTAGCAGTGGATCATGTTGTAAATAATCTTTTTAACGCTTTAGAGGATAGGTGCTTTGCTCAGATCACCTTATGTGATCTGAGCAAAGCGTTTGACTGTGTTAATCATCCCATTCTTGTAGACAAATTAGCTCATTATGGTTTTCAAGGCTGTGAATTAGATTTATTTGTGTCATATCTTAGTAATCGTAGGCAAATGGTTGAGGTCAATGGTATTACATCGCAAGTCACTCATGTTAATTTTGGAGTTCCGCAAGGTTCAATTTTGGGCCCCATCTTATTTTTTATACTTATGACTGATCTATCTGTTAATGTTTCTTGTAGTGATGTCACAATCTATGCGGACGACACAACACTGTTTTGTAGCCACAGTGACTTAGGGCAGTTGCACTGCCTATCAGAAAAGGCCTTAGGTGAATCGAAAGATTGGTTCTCTGCAAATGGCTTGCTTTTAATGTTGACAAAACTGACAATTTATTGGTTTCAACCCATGACATCTGTGATTTTAGTTCTGTTAAGCTTTTAGGTATATTGACAATAGGCTGTCTTGGCAGCATCATATTGATTTTCTCTGTACAAGGTTATCCAGAGTCAAATGTTTATTAAGCAGTTTAAGGAATCATGTCACTAATAGCTATTTGAAATTAGCCTATTTTGCATTTTTTGAGAGCATCATAAGATTTGGTATTGTGATTTGGGGTAATGGAGTAGTGGTAAGGTGTTATTGATACAGAAAAAAGTCATTAGAATTGTTACTGGTGCCAAAAGATTAGACCATTGTAAATCTCTATTCATAGAATCTAGTATATTAACTGTTGTAAATCTGTATATGTATGAAGTCTCCATTTTTGTGAAAAAGAACTCAAACAAACATGTTTTAAGAGGAAATGTCCATAGCCACTTAACTAGGAATAGAAATTTTATTGATGTAAGTAGAGTAAGACTGTCTAGATCTCAAAACTATCATACCCACTAGGGGATCAAAATATTTAACATGTTTCCAGTTGATTTTCGTGCATTGCCCTTAAATGAATTTTCAAAAAATCTGCTCTCTTGGTGTAAAGCTAATTCTATGTAGCCTACAAATTAAGTGATTTCTTCAATTTACAATTTGTAAACAAAGATTTAAATTTTATAGTTGTTTATAAATAATGTTTCTATTGTTTAGATTGACGATGTCTATTGTAATTCTTGTGAATTAATTAATGACTAATAAACTTGTCTATTGTCTATTGTCGGATCAAAAGATAAAATATCTATAGGCCTACGTAGCTATATAAAAAAAATCATTGATAATAAAAAATGTTCCCTTTACAGGAAAGTAAGTTAAGTTAGACCTTAACTTGCCTAATTTGGCAAATATTTGATACTAGCAGAGTACCCGTCCTTCGTACGGGGTTGGCATATAAGTATAATGCTTATTGCAGCTATACTCAAGCTTTGCGTTTGCAATGAGGGAGAACACAGTTTGATAAAATTTACTTTTTTAAATTTACAGTTTTCTATAGTATTACACATCTACCATAGCCATAATGTTCTACCACTTCACCTAAACAATAGAAAAACAATTATCAAAAATTCGCAAAATATCACAAATTATTCATGAAAAAACATAAACATAACTGTAAACAATCCTCCTTTGACAGTTAGTTCTCATTGCGTATCAAATTTTTTGTTGCTGCCTAGTTCAAATTAGCTGTTTTCATAAATGCAAAAAAACATAGTGCTGCACCCTATTGGTAAATCTTATAACTTTTTAATGCTTTTGCAAATATAGAACCAACTTTTTAGTTGAAACAGCTGACTAAATTCTTCAACTCCCTTTAAATATGAATACTCATAAGGTTAACATGGGGAACTACAGAGCCACTGGGGCGGAGCGCGAAAGGATTTTTGAGAAAAGAATATGCCTATATGTTAACAGGGAATATGAGCTATCATCATGCCAAATTTCAGCCAAATCCGTCCAGTAGTTAATGCGTGATTGAACTTCAAACAAACAAACAAACAAACAAACAAACACACAAACTTTCACATTTATAATATTAGTAAGATATCTACAACGCGATATCCTGTAATTTTTAGATGTCTACTTACAGTTTTTTTCACGCTGAATCCAAAAATGCAATCAGTTTTTGTCGGATAGATTCCTAAGTGGCCGTAAAACGAAGGTTAAAATTACAAATCTAAGGTTCATTGAGCGGTACTGATGGTAATATGGCGTGGTCTGGACGGGTCCGTATGTGGACTGGGGACTGAGTGAGGAGGAGAGCAAACAGCTTTTTATACTCGACTTAATGTGGAATGCAATCAATTCATTTTGAAAACAAATATTCAGTTCTTATTAATCAGTTTGTGTGTTTATTAATATTTGTTTGTTTTTAATATTTATCAGTCTTATCTATCAGTTCTTCCAGACTGTTTTCGCACAATTAAATAGTGGGTCTAATTGTGCAAAATCAGTCTGGAAGTAACTTAGCATAAATTAATGAGCCGGTTCATTATAACCTAACCTTAACCTTCCTAATCTAACCTCACTTCAAAACACTTGATACAAACACGAATCTGCGTAAAACCCGACCTACCTTCCTCACATGCCTTTTCTGACATAAAATGCAAATTAAAGATTAATATTAAGGTTGGGTTGGGTTAAATGTTAGATTATATTAAGTTAGATTAGCTGAGCTTGATGTAATATAAAAGGGTTTCAATAATAACTTCTTTACTGCAGTATGTCTTAGGGCTAAAGAAAATATTGTTACCAAGCATGGAATCCCTCATTGTTGGGGTTTCCTTATTACACATGTTGGTTGCTGAATACATGAAATTATGCACTGTGGCACGTTTTCACTTTTACGCACAATGGGATTATGCACTATGCTACGTCCATTAACAGATGACGATGAGGGTTGGAATGAGGACGATCAAGTCGGCAGCTTCTATTTCTGGAATTTTACGAGAGTAAATTCAATTTTTTTATAATTTATGATGATGTGATTCATAATTCATGTTACGCAGTTGATTTATTGTATTTTGTAAACGGCAGGTACACTTCCATATCCGTTGGCACAAACAACCGAATGAAAACATCGATCGATATATCGATTATTCGATATATCATTTGGTTAGTTATGTAAGGTTAACCAATTAATTACCAAATTGTTTACCAAATTGTACCAAATTGTTGTTGGTTAACCAATTGAATTAAACAATCGAATAATCAATATTACTCATTCGGTTGTTTGTGCCAACAGAT